ACATCGTGGTGGCTTCTCCTTCCCTTCCTGCTCCGCCCCCTCCTTGCTCCCTTTCCCTTCCTCCTCCCCCCCGCTCTCCTCTTGCTCCTCCTCCTTCTCAGTACTAGGGACTGAATGCAGGGTTTTCACACAGAGCTACATCTCCAGCCCTTTATTTTTATTTGAAACAAGGTCGCACTAAGTCACTAAGTTGCCCAGGCTGAGCTGAAGTGTACAGGCTTCCTGCCTCAGTTTCCCGGAGTGTGGAGCTTGCAGACATGAGCCACCAGGCCAGGCTGCCTTGCAGACCGTTTCATCACTTTCTTCCCTGCTCCTTTGCTTGTCTTCCCTCTGGCTTTGATCCTGCAGATAGTTTGTGTCTTTCTGACCTCCTTGCTAATGCTCTCTGTACTTTACCTGGTCATGGGATTCTCTATCCCTGATGAACTGACCGAGGAACAAACACCTCTCCTCGTCTCTAGCTGTTCTCACTGTCTTTCTAGCCAATTCTGCTGATTTTGTGCAGGAGGGAAGGAAGGAATTATAGATCTTAAATGGCAAACATCATCTTCTTTAATAGGTAGTGTGAGTGGAAGAGAAGGTAGGGAGTATATAAATCCTCACTGATTCAACACCTTAGTCTTTTCCCTCTTATTATATAGGATCACGATATGTAGTGCTGTATGATTTGCTGTCTACATTTTTCTTTTTCTTTTTTTTTTTTGTACCAGGGATTGAACTTGGGACCTTGGGCTTGTAAGGCAGGTGGCAGAAGCACTGTTGTCTACATGCATAAGTGAATATTTAACATGAATTTTGCCTAGTATAAATAATTGTATCTTTTTTTGTTTTCTGAAATGTCCATAATATGTCTGATCAGTGATATCTCTAATCACTCTTTATTACTGTTCTTTTGTATTTTTCTTTGTGTTTGTCTGTCCATCTGTCTCTATCTCTCATTATTATTTAAGTTGCTATTAAGGGCTTCAAAATATTTTTATGTTTTATAATGAAATGTAATGCACTTCTTGAAAAGTGAACAAATTATAAGTACAGCACTCAACAAACACACCTGTGTAAGCATCATCACCTAGATCCCATTTTGAAACAAATAACACCCCAGATCGCTGTGAAGTAGGGGATGAGTTTAGAAACAAGACACAGCATGGAACAGAAATATTTTCCATAACTACAAACTTTTGCAAGAGCCCTAGGCACGTCAGGTTGATGAGTGGAAAATATGATGTAGAGATGTGGCAGCTGAGAATCCATCCCCACACTCAAGACATTAGGTGAGCAGCCAGGGCACTCCCCAGGGAACCCCGAGACCTAGCAGTGGGACCTCTCTTCTACACAGGCCTCAGGAGACTCCGCGGCCTGAGGCCAGGGCTCGAGAAGCCCTCGTGGGCCTGCCCAGTCTGGAAGGATTGTAAGTAACTTCTACGTCAGATTTTCACTTCATTCATATCACAAATAGACACTGAGCATCTATTTTGTTTCAGGCAACAGTTTGCTATTTGGGGCTTTGCTCTTTGGCGTAAACAATCCAATAAACAAATGCAAAGACGTGTCTATGATCAGAGCCATGAAGGAGGGGTCCCAAGCACCCTGTAAATGTTTAAATATGTAATATGCAAATATTATCTGGTCAGGAGACGAGAAAATACTTCCCTGAGGATGTATAGTGATTCTCAGGTTGAGTAGGAGTCAATCACAGGGCCATCAAGGGAGAGAGACACAAATGAGACAGCCAGGCAGGGTGTCTCGTGACCCTGCTAAGGGTGGCAGAGGCATCGAAGATGCTACTGTGAGGTTTCAAGCCATCAGGTGATAGCATAGGATTTGGGCCTTTTAAATTTTGTTCACCTGCAGAAAGTAATTTGTACAAGAACCTGTAAAGTATAATCTAAAACCCTTGTCCAGTTGCATGCGTTCACCTGGTTCTCCTCTCTCCCCGCATGTGTAGCCCCATTTGAGCCGTATGACAGGTGAGGAACGGTCAAGCCCAATGTTAGATGACCCGGGCCTCTGGGACAAACACCTGCACACTGAATGATGCTGACTTTCATTTCCAAAACTTGTGCATTAGGAACATGCCCTTCACAATGTTCAGATTCAGGGCATTTTAAAGATCTTGAGAACTCCTATTTTAGCCTTAAAAAATAAAAAAAAAATCTTAATGCACCATTTCTTGTGTAAAATAATTCAGATTTCCAGACTCTTGGCCCAAATACAGCACATCCTTGAGACTTTGTATGAATGACTTAGAGCAAGCGACAAGTCCAGAAAATGGAGCCGAAGCCCTCGGAAACTGGGAGGAGCAGGCTGTCTGCTACCCGGGATCAGCCTGAGCCAGCCTCCTTACAGTTTTCCTGAAGTAGAAAATTCTGCCGAGGAGGACATTAATCCCCTTTCCTCCGTGGGGTAGTTTTTTTATGATGTTTTCCTCTTCCAGAAAAATAACCTTTGCAAAAAGTCCTGGCAAGTAAGGTTAATACCTACACACAGACTTCGTGTTTCCCAAGAATCAGTCAAAATAATGTAGCCATACATCCTTGTATCTTAACCCCACATTGTTCCTGTATCATACACAAAAGTATGGTCAGCATTATTTAATGCCCATACAAAAAATGACTCCAACCTGTTACTGAAACCTGAAGAGAAAGGCAGATAGAATTGTGCTTTGTGTGTTGAGGACCTATTAGGTGCGGGGCACTATGTTAATCACACTACAAAGCATATTTCCTCATTTGGGGAAGGAGAGAATTGATCTGAATTTTCTGGCTAATTTGGAGGGAGCGATGCTACTATTGGGGTAAAGACAATGGTGTTTGGATCCAACAGATGCATTTTCTGACTCTGTAACTCCAGGTAAATTGCATGATTTCTCCACCCTGACTGTGCCTCATAAAGTTGCCTAAAACGGTGTCCCACACATCCTAGGTATGTGATGCGCTACACAGTTTTCCTACCCTTACTGGAGGGCCTATGCCCACAACTACAATGGGGCCACTTAGAGTAAGAGGAGGACAGTCACAGCATATCAAACACATTCAAAAGTTCTTATGATTTGTAACCTTCAGTTCTAAGTGAAGTGCAGTGAGGGCGTGGACAATGTTATGAAAACTTGTCACCTGATGTCACAAATGACTATCGTCTCCTATCTTCTGCTGCCTCTGTTCTTATCGGAACTTGGCCCCAAATACTTTCTGTCACATTCAGTACATCACTTCACTCTTGGGGGCCTCTGTCTCCTCTGTAACATGGGTAAGTTGGGTGAGACATTCACTCGGGGCCCTTTCCAGCTTTAACTACTCTGCCCTTCAACGCTTTGACTCCTTGCCAAGGACTTCTTCCCCAAGATCCTGAGAAGGACAGAGGTCTGACCAGTAGCCACGTGCATCCCCTACAGTGCTCCGGGCTGGGGCACCCCCACCTCCCATGACAACACATCCTCTCTTGGAGTCCGTGCTGGACAAGAGGGAGGAATCTGGACCAGGTCCTCAGAGGTTGGCGGTGAGTGTCACAATCAGGGATCCTCCTTGTAAGCATCTCCACCCAGCTGACGGCAGCTGCTGACCTGATTAGCAGATCTGCTGAGCGAGACAGATGGGTATTGGGGTGGGCTGGGCCGCAAGGTGACAAAGAGGAGGTGGAATAGTATGTAGTGAGCAATACCTCAGAAGAGATCCTCATGGTCAGCCTCGTGTGCAGCCCACAGACCTGCCGGGAGCCCTGTCCATCTTAACCTACTAGCCTGGCCACTCTGGTGGGAACTGGTTTGACTTTCTTTGAGGTCTCCACAGTCACACACAGGCTGGTGTGCAAGATGTCCAATAAAGCAACAATACTTCCCATTTATGTGTCTGTCCCGTGGGAGTTCCTCCACGGTGTGAGTCCAGTCTGGTTTTCCAGGGGAGACCAGAGAAGGCCCAAGGGCTGAGCATTGATGGCTTCCTCAGAAGAGAAAACGTTAGCTAAATTCCAGCCACTGTCACTGTGCCAAGTACTCTGTGTAGTCCACCTCCAGCCACTCTGCCTCAGAGAGTGCTTTATTTTAGGATTTACACTTTATTTTTCTTTCTAGATTTTTACCTTTTAATTTTGTTATGTACTCATCTGTTTACTGGGCGGAATGGAAGCACCCTGAAATCAGGGGTCTTATGTCTTATGTACCTTTTGTTTGTGGTCCTAGGGAATGAACCCAGGCCCTTCACCCTTCAGTGCTTTTGTATTTTTAATTCTGAGTCAGGGTCTCACTAAGTTGCCCAGGGTGGGCTCAAACTCGGGAGCCTCCTGTCTCAGCCTCGCAGAGTGCTAAGAGTACAGGCTTGTGCCACCTCAACTGACTGATTTACCATTTATATCTCCCACACCTAGAACAATGTATGGAACATATATAGCCAAACAGTAAATGCATCATCACTGGAAGAATTAATGTACCTCATTCATTACTGGCAAGGTAGATATATGATTTTCTATCCTCGTTTCATTACAGCTAAAGATGGTGAGCACCTAAGGTTAAGTAACTTGCCTGAAGTTACTACAATAGAAGCTCACTTTTATCCCCGACTCAACTGACAAGTTCTTAACTGATGTGTGGTTCTGTCCTTTGCCCTAGAACTTGAATTCTCCCACAGGGAAGGCTGCTGTGCTTCTGCAATGTTTGAGAATCTGTGTCCTTTAAAAGATCATCTTTTTGAGTCTTCAACGTGTGTTCACTGTATGCTTCTTTTACACTCAGGTCTACTTTGAAATACTAAGTAATGGTCACTTAAAGCCACAAGGTAAACCCAGTTTACATGCTCTTTTTCAGTTAAAAATCAATTCTCTGATTTTGAGATGTAGCCATATGTGACAGTAAAGGAAATAGTAGTATCATTACCATTCGGCGGTAACAGATGAGGAAACCGAGGTGCAGTCATTGAATGAATGGATTCATATGATGGCTACAGAGTGAGGGAGAACCCCCAAAATGATTACATACACAGATCACGTTCTCATTTGCATGACAGCAGATGTCCCCTTGGTTTTCTCTACGTGCCTTCCTCCTCTTTTCCTCGTCCCGCCCCTGGTCCCCTCGGTTCTCATGTGCCTCTGTTAATAACATCAAAGGTCTCAGAGACCTCTGTTCTCCTCCAGACAGACCTCCCCCAGCACGGCTCTTGTCCCCCTGGTGAAGAGGGATTTGGAGCTTGGCGACGGGCCAGGGGACCCGGGCCGAGGTGGGCTTTGCCTTATATCCCAGAAGTCACGCACCTGACTGGCACCGGAGTGCTCCTCCCCAGTCTTCACAGCCTCAGGAAGCGTTTCTTCTTTCACGAAATGAGCATGCTTTGAACCTATGCTTTGAGGACAGGACCCCGTGCTGGGTGCTAGAAAGACCAAGACGAAAAAGGCAGGGCTGTGCCCCTGAGGAGTTCCCAGGCTGCTGGTGAAACCAGAGCCTCAAACCACAGACTTGAAGAGCTAGAAACGGTACACCCGACATTCTGGGGGCACAGAGGAAAGATGTGTAGCTTATTCTGGAGAAGCAGCTGGGCTCAGGGCATCCTATGCAGAGCCGTTGTGCGGCCTGAACCAGAGACGAGCAGAGTCTCAGCAGAGGGAAGCACAGCGGGCCTTTTTACCTAACACTGTGCTCGTGAGAACCTGTGAAAGCCTAGGATGCGAACGCGAGCTGTCAAGGATGCTGCCTGTCTGCCCCTGCTGAAGACCAGAGGGTCCCCGACTAGGGCTGCCTTCTGCAAAGTTCTCCGCAGCGTCTTCGCAGCTGGTGTCTTCCGGTTCGGCTGCTCCACGAGCGAGCCCGGTGCACTCTGGGGGCCCCCGTCAGACGTCCACGCCACCCTACTTCTCATCGGTCCAGGCCACCAGAAGGAAAAAAGCAGACGATGTCGATTTTACCATTAGGGAAAAAGAGGCTCACGCTGCCGCTCTCTAGTTCCTATTTCCTCCTCAGTTTTTGCTTGTAATTCGCATCCTAAATAGTATTTGTGTGTGTGTGTGTGTGATCTATCATACACATAACACATCATTTTGGCTGTTTTTATTGGAATAGTTCCATCTGAATTATATCATTTACACTCCTGGAACCCAAGGGTTAGATCACAGTTTCTCAAATTATGGCTCTCAGAGCACAAAATTCATTACAGGGAATTTTCCTCTTATTTTTCTCATATATCAGGAGGCACTGCACCGTTAAAACCATTGCCTTGTTACAACCTTCACCACTAGTCCTGTGTGTGATCAAATAATAAAGGAGCTGAAAAGTTTCAATGCAGAAAAGCAGTTGGACTTTTAAAAAAACCTCATGTTTTCAGCTAGGCATGTGGTGGTGCACACTTCTAATCCCAGCATTCTGGGAGGCTGAGGCAAGAGAATTTCAAATTGAGTCTACCCTGGGCAATTTAGTAACTTAAGGACTCAACATTTTTTTTTTTAAAAGCTAGAGATGTAGCTCAGTGAGAAGGTTCTGGTTTCAGTCCTCATTAGTGCAAGACCAAAAGCAAAACGAAAACCTACAAACCTCATGTTTCCTAAAATTAATTGGTTATAGAACCCGTTGTATGCACACACACAAGTACACATGTATGCACAACACTTCAACTGTATGATGATGTATATTTTTAAAATGTTGTGCTAAACACATGGGCTGTAGATCATTTCCTCAGAGGACATTTATGTTTCTAGTGGTACTAGTTTTCACATCATAAAGAAAGGAGAAAACAGAGAGCCTGGCATCTTTAAATATCCGAGCTGTTTTCTCAGTGGAGATACAAAGGATCCACATATAATTATGGCCCAGCGTTTATAGCCTCGTAGTTATGCCACATTCCTGAGCCATTTTTGGACCATATGTGGTGGAGCCACTTCATGGCTCAGACATGATGATGTTTACTGATGTTTATCACTGATACGGGTGAAATCGACCAGGTATCTGTTACATGCGGAACACCGGCCAGGTGCTTGCTCACCATTTAACTCAAGTTTAAATAATCAAAATTTCCTACCAAGGGGAACTGAAGAGTATCCTCTCGACCAAAAATCCTAATGCCAACAACTTTATAGTTCAAAATGCCTTAGCTAAAGTTTACACTGCTCAACTCCCCCCAGCATGCCAGGGCCTTTAGCAGGTGATTAGGATCGGGTAGCCACTGGAGGGAAGAGCCCACGGCCGAATGCCAGTGGCCTTGTGAGAAGAGGGGACCGGCCACGTGGACACTTGCGTGCTGTCTGCCTCTTGCCTTGCGATGCTCTATACTTCATGGGACTCCACTAACAAGCAGGCCTCCACCGGGCCAGACCCCTATCGTTGTACCCCCAGAACTGTGAGCCAGAATAAACCTCTTTCCCTTTAAGATGAAGTATTTTATTACAGCAAAGAGAAAAAAAGAGCAATATCTCTCAATTGCCTACACACTGAAACCTCTGTCTTTCACTACGTCTCCTTTTCTCCTTGAGCCCTTATGTTCTGTTTCCACTTTTATTTCAGCAGCTGGTAATTTAATCATCAAGAAGCCGATCCACTCTGTTTTAGATAATGCCCTGCCATATTCTTATAAAAACCTAGCAAATACTACCAGGGCGGCGTTGTTCTCTTAGAAAGCACACCCTGATTACATTATGCCCTCGTTTAGTGAGAATTCCATACTCACGGCAATGTAACCCTTGCATTCTGATTGGAGGTGCTGAATTACTGTCAATTAAAAAACCTACCAGTGTCTTATTTCTCCTCTCTTTAGTGTCTACCTAAACAAACACACTATGTTCTAATGCTCAAGCACTTTTCAGCCTTCACCCTGAAGAAAAAAAAAAGCCTGCTAGAACTTCCAATTTCAAATCACTATTTGTCTCTCTCATAACCCCTCACATCTCAAGGCCCCTGGCCCACCCATGTGCCTACTCCCCAGGGGCCGGCCACCCGGCCCCCAAAGCCTTAGCTTCTATGCATTGGGGATTCCTACGGGCCCATTCTCTGCCACCTGCTCTTTTCCCACCTGCTCTCTTTGCCACAGAGCGATGCTGTCAAATAACTTATCTCTCAGGAATTGGCATCTGGCATCAGTGGAAATAACACGCTACCTCCACGGGAATCAGCCTTACCTGAGGGGATTCAGAGAACCTAGAGGCTGCTGCATGATGGCCAGCGTCCCTGCCTCAGTGCTCCATAACTCCCACCTTTCCCGTTCCTGGTCTTTAATCTTATTCCCAAGTTTACTGCGCCAAGCACTATGCCGCGCATGTGGCATCCAGAAGTGACCAAGACATCTGACTTTCAAGTGGTTTACAGGTTGGAAAGACTGAACCTACCCCAGAGGATAGCTCTAGTGACTGCACATACTCATGCTCGAAGGCTTGTGAGGTCCTCAGAGCAATCCACGTCTCTGTGTGAAGCTGACAGGCTGCAAAGTCATGGCCCAGAGATAGACAATACATACGTGTTGAACTGATGAATGATGGAATGCATGCATGAAGGAGGAGCGGTGGACTGGCCTGCAAGAGGCCACTGGACAGATATCTGGACAATCTCTAGCTTCCGGGATTCCTCTTGGCCCTGCCCAGGGAGCTGCTGCTGCCCCAGGGTTGGGAATGTGAGGAGTCACCCTGGGGCCAGTTGTGGAGTGTGGGCTCTGCATTCACAGGTTGTGCCTCATGCCGGGGGCCCAGCATAAAAGGGCTGCTCCAGCCCTGGCCTCCTCAGTCCTCAGCCAGCAACGGCTCCTACAGCTTCCACAGTCGAGGTGAGTGCTTGGCAAAGAAGGCTGGGGCAGGAGGCCCAGGGGGACTTGCTGGGGGAGGGGCAGAAGAGGGCATAAAAAGAGGATGGAGTTCCCTGGGCTGAAACTCAACCCAACCCGCACTTGGCACAGGCCCGGGCTTGTCTTGGTGCAGCCTTGCTCCTGACGTCCTCTCTTGACTTGTCTTGGTCTGGTGAGCACCTGGAGGAAAGCAGACCCCGGGGCTGCAACTGTCCCTGCTTGGGGAGGGAGAGCAACTGGAAAACTTCGTTAGGAGCAGCGTGTGAATGTGTGTGTGTGTGTGTGTGTGTGTGTGTGTGTGTGTGTGTGTGTGTAGCATCCGCAGCGGTGGAACTGCTGATGTCTGGGCCATCTGCATTGTTCCACGTTGTCCTTTTAAGTAAATGCTCCCAGAGACAGGTTCTCTCCAGACAGGTGTGACAATAAAGGGCACATCGGAGGAAGGCTCCTGAGTGTAGGCTCAGCCATGTTCTCAGCAGAGCAGAGGGCGTTTATTGTGCCGTTTTATTTCATACCAGCTCCCAAATTCCGATTACAGATATTTTTCTCAAAGTAACTTGTTTAGGAGTAGAGCCCAGTGGAATCCAGAGTAGAAAGGATGTACCTGCTTGACACTTGTCCTGATGGTTTTTAAATTTTCTCCTTAGGTTTACTGACTTCCTGTCAAACAATGTCCTGCCAGCAGAACCAGCAGCAATGCCAGCCTCCTCCCAAGTGCACCCCCAAGTGCCCTCCCAAGTGCCCTGCTCCCAAATGCCCCCCAAAGTGTCCCCCTAAGTGCCCCCCAGCCCCTTCCTGCTGCAGCTCCAGCTCTGGGGGCTGCTGCAGCTCTGGGTGCGGTGGCTGCTGCCTGAGCCACCACAAGCCCCGCAGATCTTTCCGACTTCGACACCGACACCAGAGCTCTGGCTGCGGCAACAGTGGCGGTGGCAGTGGCTGCTGCAGCAGTGGTGGTGGTGGTGGCAGTGGCTGCTGCAGCAGTGGCGGTGGTGGTGGCAGTGGCTGCTGCAGCAGTGGCGGTGGTGGTGGCCAGCAGTCTGGGGGCTCTGGTTGCTGCTGCTGACCTGAGTCACAAGGGCCTCAGACAAGCAGTGCTGGAGGAACCATGACGCAGAAAACCTGCCTCTGCCTATTTTCCCTCCCTCCTTTTCCTGTCCTCCTTGTCTCGGGCTCTGAGAGGCTGAGCTGCTCCTTCAGAGTTTACCTCCAAATGGTCAGGGCATCCCTTTTGTTCTGTATTTCAAAATAATAAAGTCTTCCCTGCTGAGCCTCAAAAGCCTCTTGTTTCTCTTGCCGGCATCATCCCCACAGGTCAGGGTTAGGAACTGGGGCTCATCCTCACCCTTGTGGGACAGCCTGGGTTGGAATGTGGATCACGGGGCCAGTCACTGTGTCCTGGACGTTATCATGGTTTGGAGCTGCAATGTCCCCCAAGAGTCTCATGTGTTGAAGGTGGGGCTCTTGGACGGTGACTGACTCATGGTGGCTCTGGCCTTCTTGGTGAACTGCTCCTTTCATGAGTTCCCTAGCTGAAGGTACTGTTAGGACGCAGCACCTTTTCCTAGGTCCTTCCCTCTCTGCTTTGCGTCTTGGCTGCTGTAGGTTGAGCAGATTTTTCTCTGCTGTACATTCCCACCCCGCAGTCTCTCCCTTGGAGCCAGCCATGGACTGAACTGTATGAAATCGTGAGCCAAAATATTCTTCTCTTTTAAAGTGTGATGCCAGGTATTTTGTTCCAGCGATGGGATAGTGACTAAAGCAGGGAGGGACAGTAACCCTCCGACGACCTTCACTGCATACAGAAAGGGCCAGCTGCCAGTCAGAGATACCATCTTCTAGGTATATGTAAATTTTCTCTAATTTTAAGCCTAGTACTCTATTGTTTTTATAACCATGATGATAATATTATGCTTTAATAAAAAGGAGATATAATACTATTGTGCATTAA